ACACACATATATATATATTATATATATATATAAATAAATCTATATCTATATATATATATATATATATAAGTCGAATTACATTCACAATGATTTGTACAAGAACACACTCATATATTTGTAAATAAAATGTGTTTATATACAAAATTCGCCTGTCCGGCAGCAATGTGGTCGTTTCTAAATAGACCTACGCAGGGTAGCTTGTGATGTGTTGGAGACTGCTGGCTATCCGCCTTTGCATACGTGCAGCCTCGGTTAGTGTATGAAAATACATCAAATCCACAACACACACGCATTTCACAGGATGCATGTGTTAATATAGCCAGCATACCGCAGTATCATACCATCTTAGGCGTACGTTTGAATCAGGTGATATAAACTTGCACTTACATTACTGCACACTACGAGCGATAACAGTAGCTCTGTGCTACACAGTTCGACATGGAGTTGCACTAATCAGTAGTCTTACCAAAGACATAAAAGGTCTGTAATACAGGCCGATTCAAGGGAACCACTTACCTGCACGCTGTTACGGGTTACCAAGCATTTGAACATATTCGCTGCGAAAATAGACGAGTCTGATACAAGATCCAGTAATGCTAGTCGAGGGAGGCTCTCATATATGAAATATCATAATTATTTAGAAGTCCGACGTCCGTGATTTTGCCGAAAAGAACGATTTGATATTCCCCCCCCCCACACCGTATTTACATACAACTCCTTTTTACTATTTTGGGTCTTTGGGTCACTCACTGCATAGCCCTCTAAATCATAAGCACTAGAAAGCTATGGTCACTATAGAGTTGTGTTTCGGACCATAACTTCATATGAAATACAGTCAGATCATAGGTATCGCTGTAGTATATGAACCATGGTGATGGTCAAGTACATACAGGTCTATGACTGGGGAGTGGCAGCATCTCAACAATTAGACCTGTAGTATACAATTGAGGGTGGTATCGCTGGTACAGCGGTCGCACTTCCAACGAATCTGTGATCTCTGAACAAGAGATGGAGAACGAATTTTATAGTCATAACTGGTATTTTGGACTCGATTATGAAAGATAATCGCTCAGATCTTGCCGAAAACAATAGATGGCATGGCAGCTTTTAGTGACATTTGGCCTTGTTTCTGACTTGTATTGCTTTGTTTTGTGCCGTGTGAGTGCTGAACAACTTGAGGGAAGGCCAGCTAGGCCGGTACCGATTCGCTCCGCAGCTTCAAGAATACAAGGAGATGATTTCTATTATAATACTTCACATTCCCACGGTGTGTATGGATCTTTCACTTAACATAGACAAATGTGTACAATTCTCTCACTTACCAGCCGATTTGCTCCTCAGCTTCAAGAATACAAGGTGATTACTATAATAATACTTCGCATTCTCTCAGTGTGTATGGATCTTTCACTTGACATAGACACATATGTACAAATCTCTCACTTACCAGCCGATTCGCTCCGCAGCTTCAAGAATACAAGGAGATGATTGTAATTATAATACTTCGCATTCCCTCGGAGTGTATGGACCTTTCACTTAACATAGACATATGTACAAATCTCTCACTTACCAGAGAAATATATGTGCTGTGTGCTTAATAGTTAGTGTCACGGCAGCACGAGGTGTCTTTTACTCCAACCAGTACAAAGGAGTATATATACCAAAAAGTACGGCAGTATGTTCGTTTATTCGCCGATATACAGTCAATCTACTACGTTCGCTACTTCCACCCCAAAAACAGAGAAACGCGCTTTCTCAACTTGGTTCACTACCATTCTATTCGCTTGATATGCGTTAAGAAGTCCTGTTTATAGGTTATAAATACAGATGTCATTCGGAATCACACACACAGCACACTACTCACTTCAGAAGAGAATGAGACCAATGTCAGTGATGTCACTATATTCTGTTGTTGCGCCTTCCTTCTCAACACTATCACAGGTGTGCACCAGTACTTCGATTCTAGTAGTCACCGACTAAGTCAACTAGTATGAAACTCGGCTGTTGAACCGGCTTGTTAGAAGTGAATAAATAATCATCTGTCGTCGGAACGAACAATCATGTTGCTATCTCTTTGGAATTCATAAAAGGAAGCTTCTCCATTCTTTTGCAATCAGTATCTGCACAGAACGCAGAGTCAATTACAGTATCTGTTCTACAAGTCTCTATGAAACTGTTTATCAACATAATTTTGACACAAGATGTTGATCATTTCGCAGATTCTACGCTATATCACACAGATTTCAATACCCCATATCTTTAATTGAATACATACATCACCGCACAACATCCATTGCAATGTCAGCGTGTCCGACTCACTCTATGCAGAACCAGCCCAGCCACTCTACCAGTGGGTGTGAATACCCTGGCCCTACTCGCTAGCTTGAATAGTTGTTTAAACATTCTTCACCAATTATGCTGGCAAGCGTACTTCGTCCCTTTCATCCTGGAAGCCCAACGAAGCTAGGCACTAACAAAACAATATCAGAATTTTAGTGAGCCCCTCTAGAGTCTAGTCTTCCTTGCAGAACGAGGCATAGGTTTCGGCGTCCAGCAACGCAGTGAGCTGATTGGGCTCTGTGATTTTCATCTTGACCAGCCATCCTGCGAGAGTAAGTAGGCGAAGCACGTGAGCACATACATGTCAATAAGAGCTACTACGGTAAACACTACTGTAATTAACAAGAGTAGCCATGAGTCATGTCAATGGCAGCTACGACGGTAAACACTACTGTAATTGACATGAGTATCCACGAGTCATGTCAATGGCAGCTACGACGGTAAACACTACTGTAATTGACATGAGTATCCATGAGTTCAGCAAGTAGCATCTTTATCAGCCATGCTTGGTATTAAGCTAGCAACGCACTTGGGCAATGAAGACAAACAAATCGTTCCATTGCGAGGTTTACGACGCATGCACACCAAAAGAATCCGGGCAAGTAGAGATTGGGTGATACTGATACATGAAATATAATACAGAATACGGAATATGACCGAGCGCAATGAAGGGAATGCTGGATTGAGCGATCTGTGCTTTCAATTCCCCTTTTGCTATAATGTATTTTTCGCTGAGAGCATGTGTAGAGGCGCTATCTTTCGAACAAAGACCTCGTACATGTACTGACTTCTCATGCCGGTGATCGCACTGACGATGAAGTGAATATCTGGCAGATTTGAAGCCAGTCGTATGCAAATCATTTCCGGTTTAAACGCATGATATAGGAAGTATCGTGATAGATTTGATATACTTCGCGACACATACCGTTGGTCTCGGCCTCCTTGTTGATGATGGAGGGGGTGGCCGCTGCCTTCTCGTTGACCTCAAGAATGACACCGGAGATGGGCGCGTATACATCACTGGCAGCCTTGACACTCTCAACTACACCCATGTCATCTGTAGAGGGAAGCACGTGCAAGGCATAACAATAGGTTCAGAAATGACAAACAATTTAACAGGTTCTGCTTCAGCTTGACGCACAAAGAGAAGATCATCAGAGGCCCAACTCGCACCACAGAGTGTTAGCAATACACACCGCAACTATAGTGGTTTATCAAATAGTGGGAGCGTGTGTTGACTGTTTTTACAAGGAGGCATAAAAGGTACAACACATTTTGTGCAGTCAAATACGCAGCGAAGATAAGATTTGTAAACATACCTGATTGCTCGAAAGTGGCACCGACCTCTGGCATTTCAATGTATACCAAGTCTCCTAGAGAGTTCTGCGATCGTCAGAAATAGAGTGTATATATATCAGTATGATTCAGAGATTTGGCACCGAAATGTGGAGGTCAGGAGACGCTGATCGGTCGAAAATAACAGAATAATCAGAGGCATAGCATAAAACATTTAAAATGTGAATGTGTGAGCCCCTGGTGCGGGTCTCTAAAGCACAAACGTCGAACTCTGAGGTTCTTACCATTGTGCACCACTACCTGATTCGACAACACATGTTCAAATCGACGCTGGAGAAAACAAGCTGGCTCGTGGTACAGCACAGCAAACCATCAACACGAGTTCCACGTGAACCAATTCCACAACAGGCGACCACCCAAACAAATTAGAAAATTAAGATAAAAAGAAATACCTGTGCATAATCGGTGATTCCAATAGTCGCCTGATCGTCTTCGATTCTCAACCATTCGTGTTCCTTTGTGTACTTCATCACTACGTAATGCGAAATATATTTGAAAATAGTCTAGGAATGATAGTTGCACTAAAAAAAAAGTTATGATTTATATCCACCACCGCAATAGATTTCGAGAGTAGTATTGGATCAGATGGGTTCTCTGGCGTGCAACACACATCCACTCTTGCTTCTAAGAATGCATACATATTTGAGTATGACAATGACGCAGCAGGGTATACACATACATACACACACACACACACACACACATATATATATATATAACATAAATATATATATATATATATAATATATAACATAAACATAGAATATTACTATTCTATACAACACTAATTACAACAACTAGTTACGGTATAAGAATGCGATATATATATATATATATATAAAAACAAACACGCGCACACACAACAACA